TCACATTGATTCCACTTATAAGCTCTTGCGCTCTCGCATACCATTTTATGCCGTCACTGGCAAATTCGCGGAATCAATTGTTTTTCCGTTTTTGTATTTTTTCGTTTGGCCCGACACAAGTGAAAATATACAAGTTTGTCTCACAGCATATTTTGGCTCCATCAATCGCGAACCATCTTATTTTTCAATGGACTGCGCACCTCAAATCACAAATGCTGTTGAAACAGCCATCCCCTTATGCCAGATCATTTGGTGTGGCGTTCATGTGTTGCGCGCTGTCATGAGAAAGGCTGAAAAGTTTCAAGATCGTTCCAACTTCGAAACTTTCTATAACTTAATGAAGTTATTGGTCTTTGGTTCTGAAGAGGAAGAAATTGATCCTGATGAAGTTTACAACAATTTAGAAGAAATTTTAAATGAGGAACCTGCTGCCCGTGAATACTTTGACCGACAGTGGCGCCATCATCTTGACAGGTGGATGCTTCGCTATAGAAATGAAGGAGATGGAACAAACAACATCTCAGAATCACATTTCAAGGTTTTGAAGCACCAGTACTTCCCAGAAAGGCGAAATCTTCGACTCGATGAACTTGTCATCGAGTTATATTCCAGTGTTGTTCCTTCATTCCTGATTAAGTTGCAAATTAAAGGTCTGGATTCAGAGAGAAGTGTTAAAGTTATCAAAAAAGTCACAAGAGATTTCGAAGAAATGACACAATTTAAAAAAGTCGAATGCATCAGTATGCTTGAAGCTGTTCAGAAAGGTCTGAAAAATGATACACTTGATCCCAACATTGTTTACTCAACATTAAAAATATTATTGCAAAGAAAACATTTGATTTAATAAACATTTAATTTATTATAATTAATTTTTTATTACAGTATAGTAAAAAATGCTATAAATAAATTATTATATTTTATTAAAATGTGACTTTTAATAGTAAGTGAATAAAATAAATCAGGAATTGGGAAAGAAATAAGGTTAATTAAAAATAATGAAAATTACAAGTTTAAGGTTAATAAAAAAGTGACGATGGGCGAGTTTGTCCCCCACTCATGTGTTTTTTTTTGAAATAACTCTCAAATATTATTTTTTTGTTTATTTAATGATGAATAAATATGATTGCTTTAGTCAATCATAAAAACTAATTTAAGTTTAAAATAATGAAAGGATAATTTGATCGTTTTTTAAAATACAATTATTTTTGATGATTTGCAAGAATCTTTGAAAAGAATATAATATAGGTTCTATTATTGTAAAATTTATCCAAATCATGTATTACATAAATTACGATTAAAACGATGAAAGAACCAAAAAGTGTGTTTTGTGTTTTGTTGTTGTGTGTTGGATGCGGGATAAAAAAAAAAAAAAAAAAAAAAAAAAAAAAAAAAGGAAGTGGGGCTTCCAGGCACTTCGTGCCTTCTAGCCCTAAGAATTTTTCCCAAGACCCAAGAGGAGGACCGAACCCCAGCCGACCAGCCGTTGACTTTTTTGTCATGATTTCATCGTAAATGTTTTGTCAAGACTTCTTCGTAAATGTTTTGTCAAGACTTCTTCGTAAATGTTTTGTCAAGACTTCTTCGTAAATGTTTTGTCAAGACTTCTTCGTAAATGTTTTGTCAAGACTTCTTCGTAAATGTTTTGTCAAGACTTCTTCGTAAATGTTTTGTCAAGACTTCTTCGTAAATGTTTTGTCAAGACTTCTTCATCGTAAATGTTTTGTCAAACTTCTTCGTAATGAGCGTAAATGACCAAAAATAATGTTTATGTTAGCATGTTAGATCTAACACGTTTTCTAACATGTTTTCTAACATCGTAGAAAACTCATGATTTCTTCGTAAATGTTTTGTCGAAACTTCTTCGTAAATGTTTTGTCATGATTTCATCGTAAATGTTTTGTCATGATTTCTTCGTAAATGTTTTTGTCAAACTTCTTCGTAATGAGCGTAAAGGACCCAAAAATATAATTTATGTTAGAATGTTAGATCTAACATGTTTTCTAACATGTTTTCTAACATGGTCTAAAACTCTTGAATTTTCATGAATTTTCATGATTTCATCGTAAATGTTTCGACAAAACATAGACAATAAAGTTTTGACAAAACATAGACAAGAAAGTTTTGACAAACATAGACAAGAAAGTTCATGAGAAATTAGACAAGAAAGTCTTGACAAAACATAGACAAGAAAGTCTTGACAAAACATTTACGATGAAGTTTGACAAAGTCTCAACAAAGTCTTTACGATGAAGTTTGACAAAACATAGACAAGAAAGTTTTGACAAAACATTTACGAAGAAGTCTTGACAAAACATGTACGAAGAAGAAGTTTCGACAAAACATATACGATGAAATCATGAAAATTCAAGAGTTTTAGACCATGTTAGAAAACATGTTAGAAAACATGTTAGATCTAACATTCTAACATAAATTATATTTTTGGGTCCTTTACACTCATTACGATGAAGTCTTGACAAAACATTTACGAAGAAGTCTTGACAAAACATTTACGATGAAATCATGACAAGATAGAATATGAGAGAGGTCCTATAAACTGGAGAAAGTGTCATATAAACATCTGTCAAAAACCGTTTTTTACTTCACTTAAAATGCCACGTAAGCTACGTAAGAATATACGTAAGAGGAAGGGAGCATTGAAACATCCAATAGTAAAACTGACACCACAACAACAGTTGCAACAACAAATTATGAATGACCCCACTATGTTGCAACAAATGTCAAGCAACCCTATGCTTTTAAACCGAGTTATTGGTGCACAGAGTGGAGGTTTAAGAGCGGCACTTTTAGCGAAAATGGCAGGCTATGGTGGAGCTGCAGACGGAACAGCTTATAACCCTCAAAGTCAAATGAATTTGAGTTCACTCAAAAATCAAATAACAGATGTCAAAAAGTCAAACATAGACATACAGAAGCAAATAAGTGAAAACGAAAAGAAACTAGAATATGACAGACACACAAAGAAACTCAATGAGTTAAACGTAGAGAAAAAGAAGAAAGAAGAACAACTGAAAGAACTAAGTACAGAGGAATATGCGAAAAAAGTGTCAGAAAAAGCAGCAGAAGTAGCAAAAATGGAACAAGATGTTGTAAATTTGAAAAACCATACTACTCAATATAAAGTACTGAAAGATGAAGAGATAAAACAAAAAGCCCTGAAGACATATATGGATAGCGATGAGTATAAAAAAGAAGTTGAAGCAAATGTAAAGGCAGAAAAACTTTTACAGTTGCAAAACCAAACCGTACAGTATGAAAACTTAGCACAAGAAAGTAAAAATAACGACGCAGCCATGCAAAAGGCAATGAAAAGCGCAGAATATATAAAAGCTAACAATGACTGGTTAGATGCCCAAGCCAACGCTAAAGCAGCCCAGCTTATAGGGTCAATAAGGACAAAAATACAAGCGGATGAAGACAGTTCAAATGAAGCTTTAATGAATGCTGACTTTAAGAATGCCTTCGAAGCTCTTCATAGTAAGGTGAAACTAGTGAACGACTTCTCATCTGGAAAGAAACTGAAGTCTGAAGGTTTCGACAAAGAGTTAAGAGAAGTAGCAAAAATATGACGAAAATAACAGATGCAGCAACGAGACAGGCAGTTCAAAGTGCCTATGACGCCGTTAGAGCAACTGTTGTGGAAAGTCAAGAAAAAGAGTTACAACAGACCAAAACAGACCTAGTAAATGCTTTCTTAAGAACGAAAAGTCAGGTAGGACATTATGCTGCAGATGGAACATATGTGCCAGCTGGTGGAACTTATATACCACCAAACCCTCCAAGAGAAGCACCTGCACCAGGACTACCTAAAACATTTACATCGTCACATGGACACAGACACAGGCATGCACCAAAACCAACACAACAACCAGCACAACAACCACCTCCACAACCAGCACAACAACAACACAACAACCAGCACAGCAACCAACAGTTCAAAACCCTGCACAACAACAACCACAAACAGAGCAAGGACATAAAAGAAGTAGAGAACAAGGAAACCAAGAATTCTTAAAAATGCTTAAAGAAGAGTGTGGTTTCCCAGATACTGTTGACTTTAGTGACAGATATAAAGAAGCTATTGGAAAGTTCAAGGATGGAAATACTGACCCGAACCTATTTAGCTTTATGGCTCAGCACCAAAACGGATATAATCTCAAACCTGGAAAATACAAGCTCGCTAAGGGATATGATTTAATAGCATATCATCCAAATGACATGAACGAATTTACTCCGAGATATTTGATGTCAGAGCTAAATGACAATTCAACTTTCGTCATGAAACGCGTAAAAAATAGAGACGGAACGAAAGAACAAAAGCTTATGAATGCGGATGACGTAGATAGGGAAATTGTTAAAAACGGTCTCGGAATATATGAAATGCCAGCAGATGAGGTACAAGAAACTCCACAGGAAGAAATAGTTCAGATACAACCAGACATGGAAGAAATAGTTCAGCAACAACAGCTAGAAGAGCCTGAAGGAAACGAACAAGTCACTCCTTTGGAAACTAACTTCACAGAACTAGATGAAGATTTGGAACAGCCGAAAAATCTTGACCCTCAACAAGAGTATGCGGAGAATATGGAATATTTCCAAGAGTCTAAAAAAAATTCGGCTGACATAGTAGAAGAATATCGAAAAATGTTTGCCGACATACAAAAGACTCCAGCACCAGATGAAAATATTCAGCATAGAATGGAAGAACTGAAAAAAAATGTACACAAATACAACAACCCTTTTTACTTACGAGCATTTAACGTTCAATCTTCGGATGAACTCGGTGAAATAAAAGGTTAAATTTCAAGAAAACATATAGAAATGAAACATTGTTTAAAGTTCATTCAGAACCTAACCAAGATGGAAACAAACCTACTTTTGTTTCTGCAGACGATGGAACTACAATGAGATGGGGTCATAAAGCTAACCCGGATAGGTGGTTCATAAACTTACAACCACAATTCCAAGAAGTTGTAGACGCAATGGAAGTCAATGGTGAACCAGATATAGCTGGTATTTTAAGCGCGGCTTTAATGCCATTGAAAGATATGAAAGATGCAGATATTTTGGACCAGTATGAAATGAACATGGCTGATGGAAATATAACACCTGACGTTCTAGAACATTTATCTCAAAGAACTACACAGAACCATAGAGATGGTATATTTGGTGAAGAGTTTAGAAAGAAAGTTAGGGAGAGCGAAGGAAGAGAACCTATTGTACATGACCTTGCAAATGAAAGTTTGCAAAATGTCATAAAAACTTACTTTGCAGGCGATGAATCGAGAAGGGATGAATATTTAAGAAAACTCAAATGGACAGTACCAAATGAAATGTTAGTATTGAAAAACATGTTCCTTGACAAAATAAAACCAACTACAGAAATAAACGACGCAAGACTGAAAGATTGGGTAAAAGCTTTCCCATTCACAAAAGATATAGTTGGTAACATGGAAAGAAAACCAGAATGGCTACAAAAACATATATTTGGAAACGAGCTTATTCCATATGGACAGGCACTGTTTGAAGAGCTTGAACCGGAAACTCAGGAAAGAGTCATGCAAACAATAAGCAAAGACTCAAATACAAACTATGACAAACTCTTTCTAGGATATAGGTTACCTGAGATGGGCGACCAGAGCCCAAAGGCAAAAAGGACATGGGAAATTTACAACATACTAGTGAACATGAGCAAAGATGCAACAACTTCAAGCAGAGGGCAATGAAGGAAAAAGAAGAGTTAAAAACTCAGTCAGGAAGAAAGTAAAGCTTGGTCCACGTGGGTTCTATTATGACATATAAATCCAACTATTCTATATTTTTACTCATATGAAATGTACGCCGCTCAGAATATAACGCCAACAGTTTTGGATGCTATGAATGGAAATGTTTCCGAATGGTATAACGAATGCGACAATGCCATTAGAAGGTCAGAAATAGTTCCTGGAACTTACGAATATACAACTGCTGTTTCTTATGGAAACGTAGGTGAGTTTGGAGAAGGTTCTTCAACAACAGTAGATATTGCTTGCGACAGGTTTCATATAATTTCTATTGACAACTCTTTCTTATACGTGGAACAAGACATTGAAATAAAACCTTCTGCCAAGTTGTCTGACAAGAAAGGTTGCAATGGAATTTTCTATGTCGGATACCAATATGCTCCAGAAGTTTTCATGGGATATAAGATATATTCTAACTCTGACTTAGTTCAAACAGTAACATGGGCAAACTATGAATGGTTCGCTTTGAGAAACTCAGTACAACCACAAGCTAGAGAACAAACAGACCAGTATGCAACTATTGAGAAAATAAGAAGACTTGACCCTAACGTTCCAGGAGTTTATGTTAACCTTTCTGGACAAACTGCAGCAGCAGTAACCAAAGTAAAATTGAAACTTAGAGTTCCTTTGTCATCATCTTTCCTCATCTTCAGGTTTTTAAGATACTTGCCAAACTGGGCAGGAAAAATTTCTATCGAACTTACTCCAAGCAAAAATAACTTAGTCATTGCACCAACACAAGACCCATTCACTCTTACAGAAGTAGTGGGAACAAATAAAATGTCATTCGCCGACTTTTGCAAAAACAAAGTTGACTTAGACTTTGGTTTCTCAAACCTCAACACTGAAGTAAACTATTATTTCAATGCTGCTGGAGATGCTTGGGACCCAGTTAAGTTCACATGCGAAAAATTTGAATGCAAGAGAATAGAAAGCAGACTTGCAGTCTATATGTTGGACCCAGATATTTCAAATGCTTTAGCTGCCAAATATATTGCAGTTCCACTTATGTTCCCTATACACCAAATATCTGTCAAAGACTTTGCAGGTGAAGTTGGAAACCAAAGTGCTGACCCATGTGCAAGAACAGATATTGCTTTAACAACTGCAATGAAACATGCAGATACTATGTTTGTACTGTTCAGACGAACTATAAATGACTATTCTTGTTTCTACAACCCCGGTATTAAATATCATATAAACATAGATGGCAAATATTATCCAAGAGAAGAATATTCTACAGTTGAGGATATGAGGTCATACAACTTGACATTAGATGCTATGAACTTTAACAACAACTTCACAACAACCATTAACCCTGAAATGCAAAGTTCTATTATGCCATATGTGAAAGTATGGACTCATACAGGAGGTCAAAAAACTCAATATACAAATGGAGACCGTTCAAACTTTTGGCTTGGCATTCCATTTGCTGACTCAGAAGACTTTATGGGTGGTATTTCAACTGTTGGTACAGTTCAAATACAATATACTGGTGACAGAGACGGTCCAGATGAATTGAAAGCAAAGAAGTTTACAAAACCAATAGCACTTTTCACGGAAGATGCTCTTTTGAAGATTCGTTCGATGAAACCTGCTGGGGCTCCTCAGATTGGTATAACGACAGCTTCCATCGAGCAGATTTTGGCAGCAGGTCAGTAAGTTGTTCTTGAACTGACTTCTCTCCGTCAAATATTGACAGTACGCCAGTTTTGACATAATATTGTAAGATAAACTTACCTTTAGAAATATCTGTAAGTTTTGTTGTTATATTTTTGTCAACGTCAAGAACTTTCACCATTTCAGTTATACCAACTTTCTTTGCTTTATGAAAATATTTAGGTTCAGCAAAGACCGCTATTCTATAACATTTACCATTGTTTGTATAAAGAACTATTCTGTCAATGTATTTGTATTGTTTGTGTGTGTAAACTTTGTTCTGCTTCAATTCGAAGAGATACTCGAATACGTCCATCTTTTTATTCTAAGTAAAATGTCATTTCCGAAAAATAGAAGCGTAAGTGTTTCAAAAGGTTTAATGGCGGTGGCAGATGTGAAGTTAAATTCACCAACTCAAACAAACAGTCAAAGTGTTATTGTCAATGTCAAAGAAAGAGATGTTGAAATGGGGAAACCATACGAAGACAAAGATGGTATAACAATAGTTCCTGTAAAAGAACCAACATATCCTGAAGTTAGCAGAGACTTAAGTTCTGTTGCAGATATTCGAAACGACTACCAACAACTGAAAGACAAACTTCAAACTCAGGAGAAGATTTGTCAAGCTTTAGGTATAATGTTAAACTTGGTTGAGCACAACCCTGTAAAAGTGAACTCATATGTCATTGCACCTCATGAAGTTTTGAAAGAACTATTGAAACTTTTGACAGAGGCAGACGATATAAACATCAAAGAAATAGAACCCGACGTTAGTTGCTGTGGTGTTTCATATAATGTCATTGACAAGATATACGTTATGAAAGGAGGTGAAACGTTGAACTTAAAATATAGTTTCCCAGACGTCATAAAAATATTTGACGACCACAACATTTCATTAAAATTTAGTTGCTAAGTAAATGGCAGAAGACATAGTGGTTTATACTATTACGACTAAAAACCCTGAGTCATATAATTCTATAACAACAAACTTACAAAGTCCTCAAGGACGATATTGTAAACTGACCTTAAACACGATGACGACTAAAGCCTGTTTTGCTCTTTTGACACCAGAAGATTTTATTGTTGTGAATGGTAAAAAATACTCCTTTGAAGATACTTACTCAGATATACCACCAACAGGTTTTGTTGACTTATTTAATACTTTAAGGACGGATGTAACATGTGCTGCAACTAGAGCAGGTTTCATTATGTTTGGATGTCCGACTGAGTTTACTATAAACAATATGAGCTATAATACAAAACTTATATCTGGTTTTTACTACCAACAGTTTCCTATAACAGGAAAAGGTGTCATACAAGGAATGTCTGTTCCATTGACTTTAAGTACACCTATTTTATATATTGTTTCAAACTTAGGTTCAAAGTGTTATTCGAATGTCGACAGAAACTACTATGACCAAAAGATACTTATGCGTATAAACAATACTTTCTCTGCTGGTTTGCCTATTGTTCATTCGAATGCAGAATTTTCAACCTTAGTGAACTCAAACACTTTGGCAAGTATAACGTTGACATTAGTTGACGCAAACTTTGTTCCTGTAAAACTTTTATGTCCTATGTATTTGTCAATGACGGCAGAAAGTTTCGAATTGGAAGATGCAACTGGTGAAAGTATTGTACTACAAGAACAACTTCAACAACAAATAGCTCAAGAACAACAAATGCAACAAATGGAACAACAAAGTCAAGAATAAAAAAATAATATTTTTTTTATTTTTATAAAAATGTACAGAATAGATGTTTCAGATTTTTATGACTTCCAAGCATTCAGAAATATGTGTCCATTTAGAGACTATAACAAAGCAGTCGAGAATTTGAAACGTTTAGTCATTTATGTTGACTCTGCCCCAGAATGTTATGTCATGAAAGAATGGGATGTTGTCTTTAACAAACCAAGAGCAACAATAGTTTCAGAACAAGAATGTAGACAGAAACTTAAGAAAATAAAAGTCGTACAAGTTGGTATGAAGATGTTAGATGCTTGGGATATCTTATTGTCAAAACTTGAAGATTTTTCAGTTCGAGGTATAAAGTTCTATACACCTTCTCCAAACTTCTATTCTATCTTCACTGGATATAAATACGAACAAGTAGAATGGAAAGAAAATATTATAGAAGCTTGGTTAGACCATGTCAAAGAAATTATATGCAATGGAAACGAAAAGGTTTATGAGTATATCTTATGTTGGTTTGCAAATATCTTACAACATCCAAGTGCTAAAAATGAAACTGCTCTCATTATAATTGGAAAACAAGGAACAGGTAAGAACACATTCTTTACAGATATCTTATGCAAACTGTTAGAAGGTTATTCGAACCCTAATATGACAAACTTAGAAAACATCTGCGGTAAATTTAACTCCTCAATAGAGAATATGAAACTTATAGTTTGCAATGAACTTCAAAGTATAGATACAACAAAAGTTTTGAACTCAGATGCTTTGAAGAGTCTTATAACAGACAAAGTTGGAGTTGTTGAAAGAAAATATAAAGACCAAAGAGTTTGTGAAAATGTTGCAAACTTCATTATGGTTTCAAACAATACTGTTCCGATGAAGTTAGAAAGTTCTGACAGAAGATATGTAGTTGTCAGAACGTCAGATTCTCATATGCAAGATACAGAATATTTTGACGACTTAGCAGAAACTTTGACATCTGACTTTTACAACCACTTGTTCTCATATTTTATGACATTAGATATTTCAAAGTTCAATCCAAGACAAATTCCACATACCGAAGAGAGACAAACATTGTTAGAAGCAAACAAGAGTGTATATGAACTGTTCATAGATGAAACTGACTTTGAGTGTTTAGATGAAAGGTCATTGTACGATTCGTATAAACAATATTGTCAAGAATATGGTTATATGGCAGCTTCTAAACGAACATTCTTGGCAAATGTCAAAAGTCTTTTAGACATACAGAACGGCGTATATACAAAGAAAAATTTTTCTGAGTAAATTTTAAAAAAATATTTTTTTATCCGATAGAAAAGATGGCAAAATTCATCTCAGTAAACAAGTACATGTCAGGACTTAAAGAAGAACTAGACCCATTCACATATTTGAATGTTTACTTCTACCATTTTGAAAAGTCTTCATTCAGCAAAGTTTGGAACATCGAACCAGTTAAGTTTGCTATTGTGACTAAAAATGGTGCGAAATTTGAAGACTTAGACATAGAAGGTTTGTTAGCAGTCAAAGAAAGTTTTGACAGAAGGTTCTCAAACCTTAAAGAAGGCAAAGCATACAAACTTGTTATACCTTATGAACCAAAGAAAGCAGACGACTATGAATATTATGAGTCTAAGATAGTTGAAGTTCAAGGTAAATTAGGTAAAAAGATTTTAGAGTCTAAGCCAGTGTTTGCCCCTAAAGAGGAAGAGAACATTGACATTGACCCAGAAATGTTCTAAAAATAAAATTTTATTTTTACATGTCAAATTTCTTTTTCTCTGGAACTGGTTCAGGTTCTTTCTTCTCTTCTACTTTCTTTTCTTTCTTTTCTTTCTTTTCTCTCTTCTTCTTCTTTTCTGGTGGAGTTATGTCAAATTTCTCAGAACCATATTTATGTAAAAGTTCTTTGTCCTTTAATAGCTCTTCTATTCTGTTTTCTATTTCATCTTCAAGAACAGCGCATGTGTCTTCTTTGCATTCTAAGAATTTTGTTGGACTTCATCTTTCCAATCGGCGTCATCTCTGTCAACAAGTCTGTCATTGACAAATTTTAAGACTGCTCTGCTTAATGTTTTATGGTTCTTGTCATATTCCCAGAAACAGAACTTTAGAACAAATTCACCTTTCTTGTTTACACTATGTAAGATTTTATGGTCGACAGATGTTTTGCTGTCGAAAAGTTTGTCTCGAATATAGATAGCGAAATCACTAGACATTTTTAAAAGATAAAAATTTTAATTTTTCTAAAAATATGTTAGAAAAAAAAGTTTGCTGACATTGACAAGAAATTTGAGAATGTTTTAAACAAGAACAAGAGGAAGTTAGAAAATGCTCAGATAAAGCCTATACATGACAAGTTCTTATTTGCTCAGAATGGTATAACAGGTCTAATCGCACCACCTGGGTCGGGTAAGACTTTCACTTATCTTAAAATGGCTGCACAACAACAAGAACTAGATGAGAAGAACCCATTCTATGAGTTAGTTGTTATTTGTAGTACTTCTGGTCAATTTGACCAAACCGTCAATTCGTTCAAAGATATTATAAAGAAGTCTAAGTTAGTATGTATAAAGGATACTGAGTTGTTAGATTGGATAAAGAAGTACCAAAGAAGAGTTTTGAAGTATAATGCTATAAATGAGTATGTCAATTCTAAGTTTAAAGACCCAAATGAGGAAATGCAGAGAATATTAGAGAAGAAACACTTCAGAAACAAACAGAAAGAGATAGAATACATTTCGAAGAAATTGCAATCTTACGATTGGAAGACATACCCTCATAGGTGTCTTCTTATCTTAGATGACTTTGCTTCTCATCCTTTGCTTAAGAATAGAGAACAAGATATGTGTCGAATTCTTAAGAAGCTCAGACACTTTAACATCTCAGTCGTAATATGTGTACAGACAGCAAAGAGTTTAAGTAAGGATGTAAAGAGAATACTTACTGACATTATACTTTTCCCAGGATTGTCAGAAGACGATTTCATGGAACTTATGAAAGAGTCCATGGCAGGTAAGTTTGACAGACATGAACTATGGGAGAAGTATAAAGTCATACAAGACCCTCATACTTCTTTCAGAATTCATATCTACGCAAACAAAGTTCAAATTGTAAAAAGTCAAGCTTGAAAAATCTAAGTGTTTAGTCTTAGTAAGTCTGTCGGATGGAAGAGTTCTTCCTGTCGGATGGAAGAGTTCTTCCTGTTGTCGGGAAGAGTTCTTCCTGTCGGATGCAAGAGTTCTTCCAGTTGTCGGGAAAAACTTTTTCTGTCGGAAGGAAAAACTTTTTCTGAAGTTCGACCAAAAA